CCTCAGCCTCCCAAAGGTGTGGGATTACAGGCTGAGCCACCGAGCCTGGCTTCCTCTGCCTTCTAATGCTGCCCCTGCACTGCAGTTTTTTCTATTTTTCACGTCCAGTTTTTTCTATTTTTCAAAACTCCTTAGCCGGGCATGGTGGCACACCCCTGTAGTCCCAGCTACTTGGGAGCCTGAGGGTGGAGGATCACGTGAACCCAGGAGTTTGAGGCTGCAGGGAGCTATGGTCATGCCATTGTACTGCAGCCTGGGTGACAGAGCAAGACCCTGTCTTTAATCAATAAATAGCAATGAAGCCCTTTATCAGGTTAAATAGAAAAAGTCACCGTGTTGAGGGCCTCTCATCCCTAAATCGCATTCCTAGGCCCCATGAAAACAAAGGCAGGTGGCTGAAGGCTGGCTGATGGCTGACTGGTGGGTGGGACTTAGCATGCACTGTTTTGGCTGCAGGACCTCTGATGGTGATCGTAGAATACTGCAAATATGGAAATCTGTCCAACTACCTCAAGAGCAAACGTGACTTGTTCTTTCTCAACAAGGTAAGATCTTAAAAGTTGGAGTTCTTTTAAAGGCAGCAATGAGTTTTCATTTAGGCAGTAGCGTGTAAAGGGAGAGAAATCTGTATTCTACTCAGTCTGTTCTTTTCTCCTCTTTCCATGCTTTTCTTCCATACTAATCTGTCACACTCTGTGGACAACACAGAGAAGCATTTGATCCCTGTATATGCAGGAGTAATTAGGGACTAAATTTACTAGCCTGTAACCCCAGCACTTTTGGAACCCTACGAGGGAGGATTGCTTGAGCCCAGGAGTCTGAGACCAGCCTAGGCAACATAGAGAGATCTTACCTCTAAAAAAAAAAAAAAAAACAAAATCAAAAAATTATCTGGGCTGGGTTTGGTGGCTCAGTCTGTAATCCCAGCACTTTGGGAGGCCTAGGTGAGTGGATTGCCTGAGCCCACGGGTTCAAGACCCGCCCGAGCAACTTGGCAAGACCTTGTCTTTACAATAGTTCCGGCTCCTTGGAAGGTTGGGTGACAGAGTGAGACTCCAACTCAAAAAAAAAAAATTATCTGGTTGTGGTGGTCCACACTTGTAGTCCCAGGCTAAGGTGGGAGGATCGCTTGAGCCCAGGAGTTTGAGGCTACAGTAATCTATGATCGCACCACTGCATGCCAGCCTGGGCAACAGAGTGAGATCCTGACCCTCCCCACCAAAAAAAATTACTAGCCAATTATCTAAATACTTATCAAATCATCTAGATAATTTTACCTCTCATTTTCCCCCTTTCTCTCCATATTTGTGTGTGTGTACATCTGTATATATACACACACACACAAGTTACTTATTTCTCTTTAACTTCTTTTTTTCTTTTTGGAGTCTCACTCTGTTGCCCAGACGGGAGTGCAGTGGCCGCTCCCAGACACCGCAGCCTCGACCTGCTGGGATCTGGCGATCCTTCCACCTCAGCCTTCCAGGTCGCCGGAATTACAGGCATGCGCTACCACGCCTGCTGATTTTTTGATTTATTGTAGAGATGAGGTCTTGCTGCCCAGGCGGGTCTCGAACCCGCGGGCTCAGGCAATCCACTCACTTCAGCCTCCCAAAGGCGCGGGATTACAGGCTGAGCCACCGAGCCCAGCTAGTTCCCTCATTTATTAAATGGTGCTAATAATAGAGCCCGACTGATGGAATTGTTGGGAGAAGAAAAATCTCTCAGTCAAGCACTCAATAAGTGTTTGTCATCACCATCACCGTCGCCAGTGACCCACTGAGACAGAAAAATCGAGCAAGTCCAACTGAATGCCCGTGATCTATATGGTGGACAAAGTGTCAGAATCTCAGAATGATGCCCATCTTTGTCATGTGGGCACGAGTCTTCACACAAATAAGAACGACTGGACAGCCAGCCTGTTCTCCCATCCCCCAAACTTTGGTCCAACCAAAGACACAGGCAATATCTGTAAGAACATACTTTCCCCAGTTTTAAACCAGGCCACTGAATGATGAGCAATTTTTTCTTTTGAGTTGGAGTCTCACTCCATCGCCCAGGCTGGAGTGCAGTGGCACACTCACGGTCACCCCAGCATCAACCTGCTGGGCTCCGGGGATCCTTTCGCCTCAGCCTTCCAAGTAGCCGGAACTATAGGCGCGCGCTACCACGCCCAGCTCATTTTTGATTTATTGTGAGATGAGGTCTCAGCAAGTTGCCCAGGCGGGTCTCGAACCCACGGGCTCAGGCAGTCCACTCGCCTCGGCCTCCCAAAGTGCTGGGATGACAGGCTGAGCCACTGAGCCCGGCCATGATTAGAATCATGATGCTGAAAGGGATCTTCGTGATCAGCCAGTTAACACTCCCAGATTCGGGATGTGCCCAGGGAAGTCAGGTGGGTGGGTTAAGGACACCCACCTACCATGAGGAGCAGCTGGGGGAGAGAACTCAGCTCTCTCGATGCCCCTTCCAGTGCTTTCTCTGTGAAAAAAATCCAAAAAAAGTGGCGAGAGGTGCCCTGAGAGCAGTGCAAATTCCCCTTAGTCCTGAAATCCTGGACTGGCCTCAGGAAGAGCTTAGCCAGCAGAATACCCCAGGGACCTGGGCAGGATGGAACGTTTGGGTTTGTGTGTCCTTTGTTTTGAAGAGCTTGCTTCCTTCTCTGGCTATATTTAATGATTCGCCTCTCTGTGCAACTTGGTGGAACTTAGTGTTTTCATGGAAAGCACATGGCTGTCTTTCATATCTGGAACCTAAAGGAAAATAAAGAGAAGGTGAAGAAAAAAAAAACAAAAGGCGACGTTGAAAATAGGAGATTTCACTCTTCAAAGAACACCGGGATCCTTAAATGTTATTTGTTTTTGATTTTTATTTATGTATTTATTTATCTTTGGGAATCTTACTCTGTCATCCAGGTTGGAGTGCAGTGGCAAGCTCACGGCCACCACTGCCTCAACCTGCCGGGTTCAGGTGATCTTTCCACCTCAGCCTTCCAAGTAGCTGGAACTACAGGCACGCGCCACCACGCTTGGCTAATTTTTTGATTTTTTATTGTAGAGATGAGGTCTCACCAAGTTGCCCAGGCTGGTCTCGAACCTGTGGGCTCAGGCATTCCTCTCACCTCGGCCTCCCAAAGTGCTGGGATTATAGGAGTGAGCCACCGCACCCGGCTTTAAATATTATTTGTAATAAAGTCACTCACTATATTCTGCCAGGGTCCCCAAAGCTCAGTCAGTTCACCTTTATCTAACAGAGATGGTTACAGATAAGCAAAACTGAACATCCCATGGATTGGGAATCAGGAAGCAGGTGAGAGGGAGCTTGAGTTTTGGTTCCTGGGGACACACCCAGGCTGTGACTTCTGGATGGGATGAGGAAGACTGCTGTCTAGAGAGAGCTTGTTGAGAGAGCGTGTTCCTTATGAGTAAGCCACTTATGAGTAAGCCACAGGGCATTTTCCTCCCCCACGCTATTACTAGCACTTTCTGTGCCGCCTTCTGTCCTGCGAGGGGTCTTGTGAAGAATCAAATTCCAGTCCCCAGATGAGCAGAATCTGGTCTAACTGCCTAGTGGACACACAATGACAGTGAGATCTCTTCTTTACCTGCCCTCAGGTGGGTCACCTGCGGTGGCAGCGGGTGCCCCACCCCCCTCAGCCCCCAGAAGTCTGTCTTCAAGGGCCGGGGGCCTCCATGCCCTCCGCCTTTCAGAGTGTCCGGAGGCTCCCTCTGCCCTCTGCTTGCTGCCACTGTGCCCTCTAGTGGAGGGATCCCTTTGCTTTGCCATTTCCAGAAAAGCCAAGGAAGGATGGGGAGGCCGGTTCATCCTAGCCCTGATGGGTCAAGGGACACCCTGAACCCTCGTCCTCACCCAACCCCCTCCTCTGTCTCAATCTAGCAGAATCAAGGCTAGGAGCACAGTCTGCTCATAAAGCCCCTGCAAGGGCTAGGTGTCTAGTGTCAGAGTTACTAGATGAATTATTAAGGGCAATAAGAGTATTTTCTGGTTCTGCATTAACACCCAGACCAACTCCTTTCTTGTGAGTTTCAGATGAGGAAAACGAACCCTAGAAAAATAAGGCGACTTACTCGAGATGGCATGATTCATGGAAGAGCTAGATTATGAGCACAGGTGTGGATGCCCAGTGTGGCGTTGAAGGCCTTTGCTACCCTTGTTAGGATCAAACGGTATCTTTGTTTTGAGTGGATGGGAAAAAAAGAAATGGTCGTGTTCCCTCCCACCCCAGGAAAAGCAGAGAATTCGGTAACTGTAGCCGTCTCGGATCACTTCTCTTAGGGATTGAGAGTGAAGCCCCGAGTGCAAAGGGAGCCCTTTTCCATCACTGGTGTCATCCTTCACCAGATGGCGTGTGGCATGGCACAGTGGTTGGGGCACAGACTTGGGAGCTGGCCAGACTTGGATTCCAGCTTTGCCATAGACTGCCTGTGTGTGACCTTGATTCTTCCTTAACTGCTTTGAACCTGTTCTTGATTAAATTTTTGGCAAGATTGAATGAGAAGTGCACCTACGACTTTAACGTTCTGGCTCACAGGCTAAGCATTCCGTCAATGCCGGCGGCTGTTCATAGTCTTTGGCCTGAACAAGATGCGGCCTAGAAGCCCCTAGAAGGGCAGAATAGACTCCACAACCTAGGAGTAGCCTGGTGCTCAGCCCTGCAGGCCTCACTGCTGATTCACTGTCAAGTCAAGTGGTCTCGACCCAAGCAACCGCCCTTTTTTTTTTTTTTGAGTTGGAGTCTCACTCTGTCAACCAGACTGGAGTGCAGTGACCGCTCCTGGCCACCGCAGCCTCGACCTGCTGGGCTCCGGCGATCCTTCCGCCTCAGCCTTCCACGTAGCTGGAACTACAGACGTGCGCTACCACGCCCGGATAATTTTTTGACTTATTGTAGAGATGAGGTCTCGCCTGCCCAGGCGGGTCTCGAACCCGCGGGCTCAGGCAATCCACTCACCTCAGCCTCCCAAAGGCGCGGGATTACAGGCTGAGCCACCGAGCCCGGCTTGCAACTGCCCTTTTGAGGGGTCAGTTTCCTGCGGCTGTGCTGGGGCTGCCTTTCACCCCCGGTCCCTTTTGGTCTGTTCGAAGGATGCCGCCCTACACGTAGAGCCTAAGAAAGAAAAAATGGAGGCAGAGCTGGAGGCAGGCGAGAAACCAAGGCTGGACAGCGTCACCAGTAGCGAGAGCTTCGCGAGCTCCGGGTTCCAGGAAGACAAAAGTCTGAGTGATGTTGAGGAAGAGGAGGGTAAGTATTCGTTCCTTCCTGTCCTTCGGCCTGAGATATTTTTGCAACATACTGTGCATCTCTGAAATTTTTTTCAGATTTATCACCCCCATAAACATCCGTGGGAGACGCGAAGGGTAGTGTCTTGAGGAGATAAGATTTGAATTAAGGTTATTTACAGAGTTACTAATTTTGACAGGGAACCACACAATTGTCTCCCCTCAGGCCGTTCTGTCTCAGAGAATCCCCCCCTCATCCCGCACGCTTGAGTGGAATGGGCCGGAGGCCTAGAAAAATCTCCGATGTTCAGATGTTCACGTTGAAACTCAAATGCTCTGGAAAATGAACTCTGATCTACTTGTTGGTTTATTTTCTGTTTTGCTAACATTGTTCCAATAAACGGGGGTTTGGTGGGATACCAAGAGCCATTACAAACAGTTACGCTTCTAATGCTTTCCAGATTCTGACGGTTTCTACAAGGAGCCCATCACTATGGAAGATCTGATTTCTTACAGTTTTCAAGTGGCCAGAGGCATGGAGTTCTTGTCTTCTAGAAAGGTCAGCCTTGCTCTGCACTGCTTTTCTTCTTTGCCGGGCTTGGACACACACCTTTGCTGTAAATCCACTTTTCCCAGATTTGCTTATACCTGTGTCCTTAAATGTAGAGTACACCTCACCCAAAGGGCCTCGGCTTACCCTGATCTGAGGAGTTTTGAGAATGATGAGCCTTGGACACCAGTGAAGTATTCTAGGGGAATACTTCACCAGGTTTTGGACTAGATAAGTCTGACAGCAGCCAGGCTTGGTGGCTCAGCCTGTAATCCCGCGCCTTTGGGAGGCTAAGGTGAGTGGATTGCCTGAGCCCGTGGGTTCGAGACCCACCTGGGCAGGCGAGACCTCATCTCTACAATAAATCAAAAAATCAGCCGGGCGTGGTAGCGCATGCCTGTAGTTTCGGCTCCTTGGAAGGTTGAGGCGGAAGAATCGCCGGAGCCCAGCGGGTCAAGGCTGCAGTGGCCGGGAGCGGCCACTGAGCTCCAGTCTGGGTGACAGAGTGAGACTCCAACTCAAAAAAAAAAAAAAAAAGTCTGACAGCCATTCTCCATGGCAACCTTTGGCATATTTCCAAAACTGGCCGGAACCTCAGAATAGATGACTTCACAGCTGGGTGCAGTGGCTCATGCCTGTAATCCCAGCACTTTGGGAGGCTGAGACTGGGGGATTGCTTGAGTCCAGGAGTTTAAGACAAGCCTGGGCAACATAGCGAGACCTCATCTCTACCAAAAAATTTTTTTAACAATTGGCCGAGTGTGATGGGGCACACATGTAGTCCCAGCTCCTTAGGGGGCCGAGGCTAGAGGATCTCACCCGAGCCCAGGAGATCGAGGCTGCAGTGAGCCATGATCAGGCCAGCGCACTCCAGCCTGGGTGACAGAGTAAGACCCTGACTCAAAAAAACAAACAAAATACATGACTTCACAGGAGAGCTCCTATGAGTATATCCAGATGGGACCCTCCCACAGCACTGTAGCTGGTTGGAGGTCTGACCTCAGCAGCTCAGGATAAAAGGCTGAGGGGATGTTTTGCTCACTGGTTAAAACTCAGATTGCCAGCTTCGTTGGCCAGAATGCTGTCCTGCAAAGCAGTGGCCCTGCGGATTCAGAGCATTGCTTGACATGTGCCCCAAAGTACCCTCATCTGTACAGCAGCACTGCTTATTTATGACACCTCCATGTGCACCAGGGTGCTCCCTTCGCAGCATGTGAAATGGATTCTTGAATTAAGAATAATGACACTAGGCAGGCGCAGGAAATTCGCCAGTTAGATGAAAGAAACGCATTGATTATGTAACTGTTTTATTGTAGTGCATTCATCGTGACCTGGCAGCGAGAAACATCCTTTTATCTGAGAACAATGTGGTGAAGATTTGCGATTTTGGTCTCGCCCGAGATATTTATAAGAACCCCGATTATGTGAGAAAAGGAGATGTAAGTCGTCCTGGTGTTTATCTGATTCCTTTATACCCTATCATTTTTGAACCACAGACCAAAGCCCTGGGTAAATATTTACCCTTTCTCCACAGTAGTCCCTGAAATCTGTCCTGCGCTTTCTACGAAGACAAGCAGCCGGAAGAGCTGTGTCACCGAGGGGCCTGGCCTGGGGCTTAGAAAGGCCAAAGCCACGGTCCCCGGGTTCTGTTCTCCCCTGGTCCCTGGCTTGCCACCTGTCCTTTGCACAGCACCGCCTGGGCCTGGCTAGCCTGAGCGTTTGGCGGGGCCCTGGTGAGACCTTAACGTTACCTTCCTTTGACTCCCTTGGGAACTCCTTGTACCACCAAAAAGAACAGCCTGGACTCTTCCCCTTGAATAAACCCAGATGATTGATGCGGCAGGTGTACCTCTCTCAGGAAAGGGTGGGGGAATTATCAGCATCATCTCACCGTGGAGGAAATGGCTAGCCTCCCTTGTGTGCCTCCTGGCCTCAAGTCTCTCTGCTGGCTCCCACTGACTTCTATTCCCTGCTTGTTTTTGGACAAAGTGTTATTTTTCCCTTCTGTGGGTGACCTCCTGCGTCCTCTCTTCTCCTGTCCCCTGAGGGTTCAAGGCCCGTCGCAGGAGTGGTTCTCAGTGTGAGTGAAGGAACACAAATCGCCTGCAAAACTTGTTTGCCAGCCCCAGCCCCCAGGGTTTCTGAATCAGTAAGTCTTGGGTGGGATCTGACAATTTGCATTTCTAACAAGTTTCTGTCTATTATTTATTTTTTCATTTGTTTTTTGAGTTGGAGTCTCTCTCTCTGTCGCCCAGGCTGGAGTGCAGTGGCATGATCACAGCTCACCGCAGCCTTAACTTCCTGGGCCAGGTGATCCTTCCTCCTCAGCCTTCCAAGTAACTGGGACTCCAGGCATGCACCACTACGCCCGGCTAATTTTTGTGATTTTTTTTCTTTAAAGATGAGGTCTCACTGTGCTGCCTAGGCTGGTCTCAAACTCCTGGGCTCAAGAAATCCTCCCTCCTTGGCCTCCCAAAGTGCTGGGTTTACAGGTGTGAGCTACCACACCCAATCCTCTAACTAGTTTCTAAATGATGCTTACACAGCTGGTCCCAGGACCGTATTTTGAGAATCACTGCTTCATAATCTCTTTTTATAAAAGGCAAACAAACAAACTTTCCTTGGAGCTCTGGTCTGCAAAGATGGCCTCTACCTATGTGTGTGTCTGTCCCTCATTTCTGTTCATCTGTGTCTCTTTCAGCCTCTCCCTGACCCCGCCTCTCATTTTTCTCTGTCTTTTCTTAATGCCGTGTTTCCCACTAGTTCCTGTCATCTCAGGTGTGAGGCCTAACTCGCTGGGACTCCTGCTTTGCACAAGAGAAGGAAGATTTGTCTGCATGAAAACCAGCGATGCCTTCTCCTTCCTCTGGCCTTCCTTCTTTGCAGTGTCTTTGCCCACTCTCCCCTTCTAGTGATTTTGCAATTCTGTCGTTTTGCTTTCAAAATCCCCCTCCTCGGGAAATATTCCTAGAGGCCACCGCCAGTTTTCAGGACGTTTTCTAGTCATTCTTGTGCAAGCCCCTGGGAGCTTCATGAGGTGCAAGCTGTTTTGCCAGGAGGGTTTCCTACCGAACCCTGGAATTAGGATGTGTTGAGTCTGTGGAGGGGCTTCCCACACATGCCTTGCCTGAGTCGTGGGACTCAGCGGCTCTCCAGTACAGCACCGCCTGTGGGAAGGGTCTGCCCTATTTAGGATACCATCACTGCGCTAGTGATTCATGGGCCAAGTGTTATCTGGGAGGTGACCCGGGGGCACTTGGGCCGAATCTGCTTTGTCTTCACGCCCTTCTGCTTAAGGCCCACTTGCTCTCTTCTAGACACGGCTTCCTCTGAAATGGATGGCTCCCGAATCTATCTTTGACAAAATCTACAGCACCAAGAGCGACGTGTGGTCTTACGGAGTTCTGCTGTGGGAAATCTTCTCCTTAGGTAAGTCTGGGGGCGGGAAGAGACCCATAGTACCAGGGGCAATGTCTGCCTCTGCCGAGTATCCTGTGGGTAGACACAGCCTAGATCAGCCCCTGCTTCAGCTGGCTAGAGCCAAGGGTCCGTGCAGGATCTCAGAGGAGCAGTGGGCCCTGTGAGTGTGCCCGTTCGATGGCGAAGAAGTTTGGTGTAAAATCTGAAGTCAGGTTTATCATCTTTGGTGCTTGGCCACCTTCTCCAGATTCCTCAAACACCCGGATGTCTAATGCCACGACTCCTTCTCTGCCGCATCACTGCCCTCTTGGGGTGTCCTCTTAGGAGAGGCTCTGGCAACTGCCGTCAAGCCAGCAGGGAAGGTGAGGTTAGAAACGGGAGGACTCTGACGTGGGGACATGCTGCAGCCCTGACACCGGCTTATGCAGGATGAACAATAGAAAGCACTGGTTATAGTCCTTCTGTCTGTAGTAATGACCGCCATGGGTGGCTGGGGACCTCATTCAAGGCACACAGATGCACACAGACACACACGGATGACCTGAGGCCTCCCACACCCGAGTTCCAGCCAAGAGTTTTTTAGACTTTGCCAAAAATTTGCCTTTCCCAGCAAATGAAAGTCACCCAGTCACATCCCTGGTTTCCTGTAATGTGTAAAAATCATTCCCCTGCTTTCGATGACAGGCACCTGTTGCTTCCAGTCTTTGAAAGCAGCTTGGCGGCCGCAGTGGCCCTGCAGTGACACGGTGCCAGGGCCGCACGCCTTCCAGCTGCTTCCTACCAGCCATAATCACTAGAAAACACAGACAAACGCTGAGGCAGACGAGGACCAGAGGGTTGGGCAGAGTGGGCTGGGATGCCTGGCCTACCAGCCTCAGGCAGGAATCCCCCGTAAGGAGAGGTGGCAGGGGAATCTTGGACAGTAAAACCGGCCAAAAGGCAAAGTTTAGGCCCCTCCAGACGCTCAGGCCTGCAAACGCCCAGCCGTAGGCAGCCCCCACCCCATGCCACCGTTCAGCCTGGTCCCAGAGCCCAAGACACCTCTTCCCTCAGGCCTGTCATATCTCTTAGACCCCCTGCTGTGAGAAGTTGGCAAGGATATAGTGCATCAAAGGTATGTGTGGTCCACAGTAGCCTGTTCCACGTCTAGTGTCTTTTTATTATTTATTTATTGTTTTGTTTTTGAGTTGGGGTCTCACTCTGTTGCCCAGGCTGGAGTGCAGTGGTATAATCACGGTGCACCACAGCCTCGATCTCCTGGGCTTAGGCATTCCTTCCACCTCAGCCTTTTTTTCTTTTTTTTTTTGAGTCGGAGTCTCACTCTGTCGCCCAGACTGGAGTGCAGCGGCCGCTCCCGGCCACCGCAGCCTCGACCCGCTGGGCTCCGGCGATCCTTCCGCCTCAGGCTTCCGAGTAGCTGGAACTACAGGCGCGCGCTACCACGCCCGGCTGATTTTTTGATTTATTGTAGAGATGAGGTCTCGCCTGCCCAGGCGGGTCTCGAACCCGCGGGCTCAGGCAATCCACTCACCTCGGCCTCCCAAAGTGCTGGGATTACAGGCTGAGCCACTGAGCCCTGCTCACCTCAGCCTTTTACAGCTCAGTCTGTAGCTGGGACTACAGACACCTGCCGCCACGCCTGGCTGGTTTTTTAATTTGTTGTAGAGACGAGCTCTCGCTATGTTGCTCAGGCTAGTCTCCAACTCCTAGGCTCAAGTAATCCTCTTGCCTTGGCCTTCCAAAGTGCTGGGATTACAGGCGTGAGCCACCACACCCAGCTCTGTTAGCTTTTTAAAAAGAAGCTGGCTAACCCAAAGGATGAATCTCTAAGGGTGGGACTTCTTTAGGGTTCCTTTTGGGGAGAGGGCAGGGCCCTTTCAGATGACGCCCCTTCCCCTGACCTGACAGGCAGGAGTAGCCACAGGAATGGCCTGCAGGCCCTGAACACCCAGCGCCATAGACCAAGCACCAGTGTGTGTCACTTGCCGAGCTTCTCTGTGTCACATGGCACATTGTGATCCATTCTAGCCCTTGGGGATTTATTACTCCAACATCTCATGAAAGGGAGAAAATAAAGAGCGAAGCACCCCTGGGGCCTGCTGTACCAGAAGCCGTAAAGTGCCCGGTGTCTTTCCATGCTGTCTCCTGCAGGCGGGTCTCCATACCCTGGAGTGCAGATGGATGAGGACTTCTGCAGCCGCTTGAAGGACGGCATGAGGATGAGGGCTCCTGAGTACGGCACCCCTGAAATGTGAGCCCCCATGCCCTTCCCACCCGGCGTCTCTGAGAGGCGTGGTAGAATCCCAGTCTTGGAAGAGGCGATGGCTTCTCTCGTTCATTAGGGGTGCCCCTCCTCCGCCCCTGGCGGGCCAGCTGTGTTCTAGAAGTGGGGCATGTTGTCCCTGGTCCGTCCCCATCTATTTCCCCTCCTGACCACTGACATGACTTTCCAAGGCCTCTGGCTGGAAACTGAGGTTAGAAATTCAGTGTCTAGTTCTGAGTACAGGCAAAACAAGTAAGCCACCTGGGAACTGAGTGTAAGACGCTGGCCTCAGAGCAGAAGCCGGATGGATCACAGGGACCGAGGGCTGGAAGCTGCTATCGGCCAGCCCTCTCTACCTGCACGGAAGACTCACGAGTGCGGGTCTTGGGTCCAGACCCATGGACTGCAGGACAGGAGGTGTCAGAGAGGAAAGGGGAGACTTCCTGGCTGAAGTTGCCACTGTGCTCTACAGAAGGCTGGGCCAGCAATACAGCTTCTGTTTGTTTGTTTGAGTTGGAGTCTCACTGTGTTGCCCAAGCTGGAGGGCAGTAGCACCCTCACAACCGCCACACCCTTGACCTGGCGGCTTCAGGCGATCCTTCCACCTCAGCCTTCCAAGAAACTGGAACCACAGGCTAGCGCCATCACACCCAGCTGATTTTTTGAGACGAGGTCTCACCAAGTTGCCCAGGCTGATCTCAAACCCCTGGGCTCAGTCAATCCTCTCCCCTCTGCCTCCCAAAGTGCTGGGATGACAGATGTGAGCCACCACGCTGGGCTGCGAAACAGCTTCTTTAGAATCTGTCAGGAATGGTCTCAGCCGCTGTTGGAGCTGCCTGGGCCACATGACTTGTGAGGCGTCTTCCTGCCGTGCCGTCCAGGGACTCTAGGAAGACAGCAGGCCCCACGTGAGGCTTTCTCTGTTGTGCAAAGTGCACTTCTTCCCTCTCCTGGACACTCTTTCTTCCTGGGCTTTGTGACTGTTTTGCCCTTGGAGGTCTGAGAAGGAATGTGATGACACTCGCACTTTTGTGGCGCTGTTGGCAAGGACTTGGGCCTCCCCAAGGTGGCGCCTCCTCTCCTGGACCGGTGGGCAGCCGTCATCCATACAATGGGGTCCTGTCAGAAGCCCTGGGCTGGCCTCTAAGGAGGAGTTAGGGGAACAGAGGAAGCGGGGGCTTGACCAAAGGGCAAGGTCATGTCTTCTTCCTTCTCATCGTCTCAGGACAGGGCAGGGCAGACCCAGGAGGAGGAGCTGGACAAGGCGGGCAGGGGCCCTGGGCCTGACGGCAGGGATGGCGAGCGTCGCCTGGGAGGAAGGGGCCTGCTCTTGTCTGTCTTACGGGGCGTCCCCGCCAGCAAAGGAAAGAGGCCAGTGAGCCCCCAGGTCTTTGGTTGTGTGCTTAGGGGTGGAAGGCCTTGAGTTTTTAATCACTTGGTTCCTTTCACTTGGCAAGAGGGACAGACACTAGGAGACTTGGTTTGAAGTGAGATCACTTGGCACTTTGTGGTTTTCTAAGTGTTTTCCACACATGGGCTCATTCGAATTTCCCAAAGGCCTTGAGGTAGGCAGGGCAGGTCTTATTGTCTGAAGGCAACAGGCAGTGAAACCAAGACTGAGAAGGGAGGCCCTGTGCTTGCTATCTGTCAGCCAGGAAGCAGAGGACGCAGGCATAGAACCCAGGCCCTTGGGCCGGTCCCTCTAGGCCCCAATGGCTGGCGAATGTTCGCCCCATTCCTCAGAGGTGTTCTCTGATGTGCCCGCTCGTGCTTTCAGTGAAGTATGGCCTTCCATTTTCATAGAATCTGAAAATCACAAGGGTAAGTCCTCAATTACTAACAGTAACAGTAGCTGCAGTTGTTAAATAACAATCTCTATTTTTACCTCCAAATAAATGCTAAATAGGATGCAGTTAGTTTTCATCTTGGCCCAAAAATACCAGGGGTGCCAAAAAAATGTAGACACATTTTAAGAGTTATTATCTATGCGTAACTTTTTTTTTTGCGTTGGAGTCTCACTCAGTCGCCCAGACTAGAGTTCAGTGGCCGCTCCCGGCCACCGCAGCCTCGACCTGCTGGGCTCTGGCGATCCTTCCGCCTCAGCCTTCCGAGTAGTTGGAACTACAGGCGCATGCTACCATGCCTGACTGAGTTTTTGATTTATTGTAGAGATGACGTCTTGCCAAGTTGCCCAGGCGGGTTTCGAACCCATGGGCTCAGGCAATTCACTCACCTCAGCCTCCCGAAGCGCGGGATTACAGGCTGAGCCACCGAGCCCGGCTTATGCATGACTTTTTAAAGTTGAATTGAATCATGGTAGCAATGTATAGCTTGACATTTGCTCAAAAGATGGCGTTCGTCAAATGAATGTTAGTGTCCCCATGTGACAGGCAGAACAGTATTACAGTATTACCATTTTAATAGTTTTTTCCTTGCTTAAACTGTGTCCACATTTTTTTTTTTTTGAGTTGGAGTCTCACTCTGTCATCCATGCTGGAGTGCAGTGGCACACTCATGGTCACCCCAGCATCAACCTTCTGGTCTCTGGCGATCCTTCCGCCTCAACCTTGCAAGGAGCCGGAACTACAGGCACACGCTACCGTGCCTGGCTCATTTTTTGATTTATTGTAGAGACGAGGTCTCACCAAGTTGCCCGGGCTGGTCTTGAACCCACGGGCTCAGGTAATCCTGAAACACTGACACTGGCCGTGTCTATATTTTTTTTGATACCCTCTGTATGTGCTAAGTAGTATGAAATTAGTTTTCGTTTTGACCTAAAAATACATGCTAAGTAGTATGAAGTTTGTTTTTATTATGACAGTGTCTAATAATATTTATTAACTAGTTGCTTAGTGCTTAGAAATGCCAGCCACTCTTTAAGCTTTATTAGTATACACTAATTTATCTAATGCTCATAACAGCCCTATCAAGTAGGTGCTACGATTATCTCCATTTTGCAGATGAGAAAACTGAGGCACAGAACGGCTAAGTGATTTACCCAAGGTCATGTGGCTAATAAGCAAATTCAGTCTAAGCCCAGAGTCCACAATACCATCCTACACACCTGCAGGGTATGTTTCCAAATCTTACCCAGGCTCCAGTCCAAAATAACTCCAGAGGTACAAAGTCCCATCAACTTTGGACTAAAAACTCCCTTGGACTTTATCATAAGCCTCATGCAGGAAACCCCTATTCCCCAAGCAGCCTAGAGAGAGTGAGGGGGAGGGCGAAGCTTATTTTAGAAATGTTAAAAGTAAACAGCAGCTCTGTGAGAGGTTTCCTCAGAAGGCCCAAATTCAAGCTGCCAGCCTTTTTCTCCAGCATGCAGAAGTTTGTTCCAACAGTAGGAAGGTGTGGGCTGAAGATGAGGTGCAGCCTCTTGGCAATGTGGTGCTGTGGCTTGATCTTGGCCCAGGGCAGCGTGCACTTGGAACTTGGGCGATAGCTTGGAGAGGAAGCTCTTTCCAGGGCCGCCCACCACTGGCTCGGGTGCGACTGGCGTCTCTTTGCCTTATTCAGCCTGTCGACTCAGTGGTGTACACCCTGCGACACTGAGCTTTTGGGTCCTCGCCTGGAGCCTGTGTCATCCGATGTTCTTCCATAACGGAATAAGCAACGCATGTTTGGAGATTTTTTTCTTTTCCTTTGGTGTTTGCCGAGATGATTCCCACTGAATTTTAGGCAAGAGGAGTGGAAACTAGAAATCAGAAACCAGGAGTCAAAAGTGCAAAACAGGCTGGACTTGGTAGCTCAGTCTATAATCCTAGCACTTTGGGTGGTCGAGGTGAGTAGACTGCCCGAGCCCACAGGTTCGAGATCAGCCCGGGCAACTTGGCGAGACCTTGTCTCTACAATAAATCAAAAATTAGCTGGACGTGATAGCACACGCCTGTAGTTCCAGTTGCTTGGCAGGCTGAGGCAGAAGGCTCGCCGGAGGCCCAGCAGGCCGAGGCTGCAGTGGCCGGCAGCGGCCACTGCACTCCAGTCTGGGTGACAGAGTGAGACTCCAACTCAAAAAAAAAAAGTGCAGAACAGCAAGCAGTTGGCGGCGGGAGGGTCCCTTGCCCAGAGAGTGCATGTCCCCACAGCCTCTGGTGCCTATTTGCAGCAGGTGATGATGCTGGTGGGGGGGACACCTCTGCTTGGTGGCATGCATCTGCTGCCTGTTTTCAGGGCCCGTGCTTGTTTACTGGTGCAAGCCTTTCTCACTTTGACTGCCTTTGACAGGTTCTCTGGGCATATATCTGGGGCTCTTCCATCCGCCCCCGAGAACCCGACTTGCTAGAGAGGAAGGGGCCTCAGTCTGGCCGTGAGTGTGGTTGTGCAGGACAGGCCTGCCTCTGCCGTAGCCCTGTCTGGTCACCGCCTGTCTCATATACTAACATCTCAGTAAGTTAGAAAGATGTCAAGCGACCTTAAAATGACATCTATATAGGACTGCGGGGATTATGCTGTTTTTGACTTTCGGCGGCCTGTCCTGGGAGCATTCACTCTGGGGTGCTGCTGGTTGGGAATAGTGGGACCGTGGGCACTGCGGCTGCCTGTCCTGGGCCTCCTGGAGCCAGAGAGTTCAAGTTCTGTTCTCATCCCAGCATCCTCGGTCCACTGAGGCCCTGCATGGTGGTGCTTGACCCTGGCTCACACGTCACGCTCTCCAAGGGGTCCTCACAGCTCTTGGAACCAACCAGTCGACCCCATCCTAGCCCTGGGAGTCAAGAAGAATGGACACAGAGGATGAGACAGGGGTGGGAGGGGACCTCTTCCGAGAAGAGTCTTAACTCTCAGGTTTGGACAGAGATGGAGGGATGGGGGCTCGTAAAGTCTGCCTTGGGTTATCTTATGAGCTCTGGGCCCTTCATCAAACACTCAGCATCTCTGCTTTCCAGGGTCTTGTTAGAAAGTTGTATCCTGGGCCGGGCTCGGTGGCTCAGCCTGTAATCCCGCGCTTTGGGAGGCCGGGTGAGTGAATTGCCTGAGCCCGCAGGTTCGAGACCCGCCTGGGCAACTTGGTGAGACCTCATCTCTGCAATAAAAACCAAAAAAAATTAGCCGGGCGTGGTAGCGTGCGCCTGTCGTTCCAGCTACTTGGAAGGCTGAGGGGAAAGGATTGCCAGAGCGCAGCAGG